AATTGAGAAAGATAAAAAGCTATAAAAAAAACTAAAATAATTAGACATCATAATTTAATTATAGATAATTTGAATAAACTTAATTACGTAATAAATCATTTAATACAAAAATTAAAATCAAAATATCCAATCTTAAAAAACTAAGATTTATATTGATAATGTGAAAAATTATATGAAATTTACATTTATCCCCTCATATGAATTTCTATGATGATTCAATTGAATAAAAAGATCAATGTTGTTCACTTTCATTTAATTTATCTGATTTACTCATGGTATCAGTCTTGGGTTATAACATTAAGGCATTGGATTTTGTGCATTGAATTTAGAATGAAATTGCAACTTTTAGCCTACACATTGGTACAATTACTTTTCTGTAATCTAGTAAAAGATAATAGTTTTTTATCATGTAGTTTTGAAATCAATTCTTGGAATTAAATAAATGATCAGATCAAGAGAACTTTTTAGAAGCAATATTTTAATTATATGTGAATGTTTTCATAAATTTATCATCTAATTAAGTGCCCATCTTTTTCAAAAATAATAATAAAAATTGTGAATTTCCATAAAATATAAGATCAATTTATTTATAATTATATCTAAAACTATCAGTATATAAAAATCAGTGTAAAAGAGTATAATTTTAAGAAATTAAATTTATAAGAAATATTGGTTATTGAGCAAATGAATATAGAAAGTATAACATTTTTGTTAGTGAATAAAGTGATGAAATATTTATTTACTTTTTGAAAATTAATATTTTTTAAAAAATTCAAATTGTCATTAACTAAATGATCTATTTTAGTAATTAATTTATATTATAATATCATTCATACATATATGAAAAATTGAAAAATAGATTTTTAAACAAGGTAATCACACAAAATAGCATTATATAAGGTGAAGTAATTTATAATTATAAATATATCCTTTAATATTGTTTAGTTAAATGATGAACTAAACATCAAAACCTTTCAAATTTATAACTTATGCTTTTAACACAATTTTTTATCTAGATCAGATGACATTTATACTAACCTTTATCTATCTATATTGATCCTCAATACACTGTAAAGGAATAATAGATCAAAGCACTACAATTTATGCATACTTTATGAAGGAGAATCTAAAATGCTTTAAGTAAATGATGAATTAATCTAAATTATCAAAACTATAATTTGTTAGAGCAATATAAAATTTTGTGAGAGCTGATTTTAATCTCTCCAAAAATTCTAATAGGAATGTTCAGAAGTCTTATGTTCCAAGTCCGCGCTTCTGACTACTGATCAGCTTGGATATGAGCAGAAGGTGAAGTGATGTGATTACGGATACTATGCACAACGTAAGAGGCGGTGGAAATAGTGATTACAAGGATCATAAGTTTTGGACCTTATTTTTTTTAGATTTAATTGACTTGGGTGCAGAGAGCTGGGGAACCATGATGGCAATATTCGCAATTTTTGGCAACCAAGAATTTTAAAAGATTTGAAGGAAAGTTCTGAACCCCATAAAATTTCAATACTCCATCATCAAATAAAATTTACATGAAATTACTGGAACTTTCCAAATTAGAGTTAATTAATATCAAATAGGAGACTACGAACTTATATTAGGGACAATTTACTTTAATAGAATCCAGGGATTTTGGACTTTTATATATCCGAAATCCAGTTGTTTGCAATCTAACATATTATTATTACTAATAACATGATTTTTTAGAAAGTCATACAAATACTATGCTAACTTTAATATATCTTAAAAAATAATACCTAAAAATGATTATTCATTTGAATACGATTTTCCTGATAGTTTAAAATATTTAATTTATTTATATTGAAAAAAATAAAGACAGCATCATTAATTTCGAAAACCATATTAAATAGAATTTGATGAGTTATCAAGTTTAACATTTTATCTTAAAATTTATTATTCCTTCATTAATTTAATTAATCAACATTATATTTATTCACATTGATAGAATAAATTAAATTTATAATATGTTTGTATATCTATGTATGAGATATGTTATTAAATATTAAAGGGAAAATAATAATATGAAATCAATCCTATTCTTCTAACATTTTGATTTCAATTAACTCTAAGAATGAATTCCTTCTTGCAAATGGTCATATTATAGAAAATGATTAGTTACATAAAGAGATAAGTTAAGTATCAAATGTTAAAATAGTTTGATAACCAAAAATTATTTAAACATATTAATTTTGAATATATGATTACCAAATATAATACTATAAAACAGAAATAGTAGATTAAAATGATAATAATATAATATTAAGAAAAAAAAAGGATAGATTATTAGAAAAAATACATTATATTAAAATCATAGGGATATTCCTTCACATGGCATCATTCTTATATACCTATTGACGAAGTAAAAATTATACTTCCTTTTTCAATTTTATGTAAATTTTAAGAGATAATTATGACTTATACTCAAATAAATATATTATGCTCATTTTACTGATAAATTTGAAGTTATTAATAATTTTTTAGATATTCATATAACTTTTTAGTTAAT